CACACACACACACAGGTGCATGCGCACACACGTGCACACACACAGGTACATGCACACAAGTGCAGGCACAGAGGTGCACACGCACACAGAAGTGCACATGCACAGGTGCACACACACACATGCACACGCGCACACACACACACACAGGTGCACACACACACAAACACACACAAAAAGGAGGGGAGGCACCACACTGGACACCCCCACGTCTGGTCCCCTAGTCTCTCTGGTCGGCAGGGGCAGCCCTTCCCCCTGTCTCGGGTTGGAGCCTAAGTGTCCCCAGGGCCCCAGGCAGAGGCCGCAGCACAGGGCATCATGGGAAGGTGGCAGAACCCTCAGGAGGAGGTGAGCTCCCGGGGACATGACCCTGAACAGGAAGCGGGGGCCCAGGCTCTTCCTGTGTGTGGGGGGAGGCCGCAGCCTCTGTGCCGGGCCCTCCCTGCCCTGCGCCTCCCCTGAGCCCCATCTCCATCAGGCCCCTGCTCCGTGCGGTCACCTCTGCGCAGGACAGCTCGCCTCCTTCTGGGGGGGAGGGTACCAGGGATGGAACTCAAGGCCCCCGACCCCTCAGCCCCGTCCCCAACCCTGTTTTGTATTTCATTTAGAGACAGGGCCTCACTGAGCTGCTCAGAGCCTCGCCGTTGCTGAGGCTGGCCTCCAACTTGTGATCCTCCTGCCTCAGCCTCCTGCAGACACCCAGATGAACCCCGGGTTGTCAGACTCTGGGGGACACTTCCAGAGCTCCGAGCCCATCGGCCTGTCCCTTTCATAAGACAAGAAATGTCCAGCACTGTTGTGAGGGCAGGGCGTTGGTCCCCAGGGGCTGGCGTGGGAGGAACCGGGGAGCCGAGCCCGGAGTTTCAGTTTTGCAAGACAAGAAGCTCTCTGAGACGCGTGGGTGTGACTGTCACACAGCCACCAGCCTGCGGTTAACACAGCACCTCCCTGCAAGTGGCCCAGGTGGCCAATTCCACCTCCTACGTTTTTTTACCACAATTTAAAATAAAAAAACAAAAATGGAGACGACACACTGAGGCTCAGACGTGGCTCTGAGGAGGTTGAGGCTGGGGACGGGGACTGCGAAGGGCTGGTGGCAGCTGGTGGCAGCTGGTGGCTGGGCCCCCCACAGGCCCAGGCTCACACCCCAGCCCTGCAAGGCCACAGAGAGACTGGGCCTCTCCTCTCAGCGGCCACCCCCGCCCTGGGCCACCCTCTGCAGGGCCCAGGGAGCCCAGGCGCGGGAGGCCAGGGTGACAGAGACAGGGAAGTGAGAGGCCGAGGGGAGGTCGGCGAAGCAGGGAGGGCCCGGGCCATCTGCAGGCCCAGCCCTGGCAGAACCCAGGAGGGTGGGGGAGCAGAGGCCACCCAGGGCTGCCCTCCTGCCAGAGCAGGGCACCCACAAAGGAAGAGGAAGGACATAGCCCGGGCGCCGGGTCAACTCGGGGTGGCGGCATCTGCTCAGACTCCCCGCTGCGGCCAGAGAGGGGAAGCAGGCACGGCCCGCCCGGCACCCAGGAGCCCCCGGACACAGGGGACAGTGGGACCACCTGTCGCCCAAGCAGAGCCCACAGGCCCCGTGGCACGGGCAGCAACCTCTGACCCCACGTGCTGACACCCAACCTGGCCAACTCTCCGCCCCAGGGCCTTTGCACCTGCCGTGAGGGGCTGCGTGTCCCTGAGGCCCTCACTGCTGCCCAGACGCCCGGCAGCACGTGCGTCCCCTGGCCTCCCCTCGGCCAGGAGGGTCACTCCCCCAACAACCAAGCGCTCCTCAAAAGCAGGCCACCGTCCAAGCCTTCTCTGTCCCGTCCCCAGGACGCAGGGCAGGACCAGTCGGGATATGTGCCACCTGTGGGCTAAGGGACTGTCCGGCTCTCCTCTTCGGCATCCACGTTTCCCATCGGTGCTTATCCCCTGGGGGGACCCACACTGACTCTGTGCCCTGTCCTGGGCCCCTCTAGTGACCACCTCACAGGACGCCCAGGTGACAACTCAGCACACCAGAGTCTGTGACTCCGAGGCCACCCGCAGAGGAAAGAGACCTGACTGAGGTGTGAGGGGATGGACGGGCACAGCCCCGAGGTGGCCAGGGACAAACACCGTAGACGAAGGCCCATAGGTACAGGCACGGGCCCGAGACGCGTCCTATCAGGAGGGGCCTGTCCTGTCTCAGGTGGGGGACACTGCAGAGCTTGGGGGCAGGGAGGTCCCCAGGGACTGAACCCAGGGGCACTAACCCCTGAGCCCCGTCCCCAGCCCCATTCTGTATTTTATTTAGAGACAGGGTCTTGCTGAGGTGCTCAGGGCCTCGCTAAGTGGCTGAGGCTGGCCTCCAACTTGTGATCCTCCAGCCTCAGCCTCCTGAGCCGCTGGGATGACCGCCCGGCTGGCTTACAGTCCCTCATTGACAACAGGGGTGCCTCGTCCTGAGGCCAGGAGGTTGCACAATGCCTGTCCCCTCCAGGGACACAGGGCTGGGGCTGGGCTCAGCAGCAGGGTGCTCGCCTGGCATGTGCGAGGCCCTGGGTTCCGTCCTCGGCACCGCCTCAAATACACACAATGAAGGTTTCTGTCCACCTACAACTAAAAAAAAAAGCTCAAAAGGCCAAAGAGCAAAGCCACTGGACTCCAGACAGTCCAAGGAAGAGCCCGGGCCACAGGTCACCTGAGAGCACATTTGGCTTCTCTCCCAGGGTCCACAGGCTTCTGGGCCAAGCACTTTCACAACAACCACCTGTGACAACCCGTCTCTGCTCTACTTCCTGGGAGCTAACGTTACTTTGTGCATACATGTGGGGGGGGGCCTTTCCAAGGGGCTAGTGACACGTACTTCAGGAATCACCTTCGATAACAAAGTTTCTACGAGAATCAGGAGCCTGTCACACATGCGCCACTCTGGCTGGCGGCCACTGCAGCATGAGTTCCTCTGACCGATGAGCCCGAGGCTGCGCGTCCCCTGGCCTACTGGTGGGGACAGGGACGGCTCCCAGGGGCTCCCACCAGCTCCGTCTCTGCGGCTCCTGGAGAGCCATCGCGTGCCTCTCTGAGTCTCGCTTCTGTTCCCGACTGAAATGCAGGCAGCTTAGACTAGATGTCCTCTCCAAGTCCCCTGGGCCCAAAACCATCCAGTCATGTGACATGTGACGGCGTAGGTCAAAAAAGCAGGACGCGGCAAATTCAAGGATGAGCAACGTCCCCTGGGGTCGGGGCTTAGATGGTCTCTGTATTCCAGAGGCTTTGCTAGGCACTGCTGGACAGAGAGGACCTCTCCTCCCGGGTGGAGGTGACCCGGGCACAAAGCTCCGAGTCCCCAGAGGACGGTGTGCAAAACCAAAGCCACAGCGGCTGCGCTCAGGCAGCATTACTGAGACGAGGACATTTTGGGGACCTGGTTGACGAAGGTCTTCCTGTGGCGGGAACGGACGTGAGCCCTCCCAGCACCTCCCAGAGGGCGCATGGCAGTCAGTCACCTCCGCCACCAACAGGCACTGAGCGAGTCCCCTCCTCCCACCAGGGTGATCAGAATCTGCCCACGGCCACCAGCTGTCCTCAGGGGGGATAAAGGCTTCATCACTTTAGGAAAGAAACAGCCCAGTGCAGAGTCCACAGTCGCAGGGCCCCTCCAGAGAGCCGAGCACCAGGGTCGCAGAGCCACTGACCGCCCACCGTCCACACGGGACAAGGGGACCCCAGGTTCAGCCTGATTCAGGCGCAGGGTCCTGATGCCCTGGGGACTCAGCCAGACCCCCTAAGCCCCAACTGGACGACAGGGGCTCAGCAAGGGTCCCCAGAGCATGGGAGGGAGCCATCGGCCCTGGTCACTCCCCCCACCGTGCTGCCTGCAGGGATGTCCCTTGCTGCCCTGTGCTGGGCCACATGCCCCAGGCTGCGGGCCATCCCGGGAGGCCACCAATGCATCCCCGTCTCTACTGGATCAGGTGGCCCCGCGTGTTCCCCCCGATCCTGCTGCCATTGTGACCCACGCGGATGCCGCTGCAGTCCCCGCGGCAGGCAGGCGACACTCCTGGGCCTCAGGCCAGGGCTGTGCAGGGCGCCATCAGGGCAGGAGCGAGTGGCGCGGGGACCTCGCGG